AATTTTTCCCAAAAAATATATTATTATAGGGAATATTTGTGGAAAATTATCTCATTCCGTTCGTACTCTGTCCTGCTTTCAATAGACAGACAGACAGACGGACGAACAAGGACCCAGAATACATACACTTTTGTAGGTCTATGACCAATATTTCGATGTTTTACAAACGGAATGACAAAATCAATATACCCCCACCGTTTTCGATAGTGGGTATAAAAATTTAATAAAGGAATTCCATATAAAATGATCAAAAGCATTCAACAAATGTTATCAAATTATTATATAGACCATTAAGAAATTGAGAATATTGTCTTTGTTTCTACCCCCATACAATGAACCTACGATTTTAAAACTCAATACGTGCCCAACAAATTTTTCAAACATTGTCAACATAATTATCGAAATTTATTTTTAGGGGTGATATACATCCGTATGTACGTACATACTTACATAGGATTTCAATTGATCAGCTAAAAATTATTAAAAAATTATTTTATTTAGTATGTGAACAAAAAATATATAAATGCACAGCGAAGAAAATAAATATGTTGTAGTATTAGTAAATTTAACCGGATATACCTTAAAATAATTTGCTTCATGTCATTTACGCTAGATTACTTTGGTGGCATTCCACAAGTTGTGGAATATTTGTCTTTCTTCTTTCCATTTTAGATATTTTATATAACTTTTCGAAACTACCATATGTTGAGGGCAAACAATGTTAACACGATCATCACGATTTGGGGTTTTATCCTTTCAAACATGAACCTAAGGTTTCTGCTATTTTTGACAAACTCAATTTCTTTCCAAATTAAAGTCGTTAACAAATATTAGTTTTTAATGTTTTTTGCACATATTTTTACTGAATGAACTTGAAATCACAGTAATTTGCGGGGGTTATTAAAATTAAATATATGGTGAAAGTACTGATGGTCATTATGGCTACGAATATAATCGTTTTTTGTTTATTTGATAAGTACATAACTCTAAATCGTTTTTAATGGAAGCTTTTGTAATATGTTATTGTTTTTACAAATAACAGAATAGCGTTTCATATTGAACATGCTAATCTGCATCTAATCCCTTTAATAACACTTGTCGCAACTTAAATGCTCAGTGAGTATGCAATAACTATTGAGCGCTGTAAATAGCAACAACAATTTAAAGTAGAGAACAGACAGATGAAAGAAATAATAGACTGTGTATTGCACATTATCCCAACAATCCTAAAATCGGCTGACTCTATTCTTATCGCCCGTGTTTCTTTTTCTTATTATGGTTTATAGTATTTTTTAACAGATATTGAAAATAGTTTGGTAGCTAGAGAATAAGGGCATAAAAATAAAACTATATAACAGGTGGTTATTGTTTTTGTTGTTATTACATGTTATGTTTGTAATGGTAGTATAGTAACTAATGCATAAACACCTGTAGAGAGATGTGTGTGAATTTGTAGTCACTACAAAAAACATTCATCCACAAAACGTACATACAATGTATATCCATAACAGCATAAAGGTCAATTACCATCAATCAACAGCAGGTGAGGTGAACCACCGCCATCTGAATATTTTGCGCCACAATGACCAACTGACATTCACTTAATATTACAATTTTCTACTAAAAATATAAAAAATAATGAAAATATTCTCCCCTGTTTCTAAGAACAATAAATATGTGAATATTTAACGGAAAATAATCATAATTTTCTACCGTAAACAAAAAATACCAATGAATACATTCGTTTGTTCTTTTGCCTTCCTGATACATTAACTGCCCTACGTGCACTTACTACTCTACTCTATGAAATGTTCGTCGAATACAACAAAAATGATCAACAACTGAGTTAAAAATTGGACAAGTATGTGTTTCTTTGTATTACATAATAACCCTTTAAAAAGTTTCCCTATTCTCGTTTTTTGTTTACTTTGTTTATTTTCGATTCACAAAAGTTGGGGTGTGTATATATCATGTGAAATGCAACACATTTGAATTCCTCATGAAATACCTTTACGTTAAAATAATGATCTAGATATGTATTTAATGAGAAAATTGTTTAACCTTAGAAATTTGAGTTACAAATGACAGGATAGGAGAACCATACTGATAGCTGGAGAAACAGTTTTAAGAAAAAAATCAAAAATTTAAATTATATAGAGCGGAAGATTATCGAATAACAATCTCATATTTTTAAAATCGATATTAAATTAAAATAATATACATATACGAATATTAGGGTGCCCCATAATGGAAGTTGCCAATGTTACCACCAAAAAAGAAAATTTAGTTCATTCTATGATACAATTTCACACAGCAAATGTGGTGTCATATGAAATGTAATTGAAAGACACTTTGAATGTCGCAAGAAACTTTTATGTGCAATTACAAAAGTGTTAATACATTTTAAGTTTTCCGCAAAAATTTGGAATTTTTAAAAATTTTACATAAAAAAAACTCACGTAATTTCACCGAAATAATTTATTTATTTTTGCATTTTATTTAAATTTGTTTTTGCTCAAAAAAATTAAAGGAAAAGATAACTTATAATAAAATTCATAACAGTTACGGTCCCTGGTATGTATCACACCATATACACATGATACTAAAGGTCATTTAAAGTGAAACTGCGTTTTCAGTTTTTCATTTTGTGATCTTTTCTCCTTTTTAAAGTACTTAAAGTTGTAAGGATATTAAAATTTATTGAAATATATTTACTGAATAATTTCCTTCAATATTGGTATCAAATGACAGAGGACAGTCTCTGGAACTCAACACTATTTTGTGTTTTAATTTTTCAGGACGAAATATTTTAAATAATGTCCTTTGAAAATTCCATCCTTTTATATCCTTTGGAATTTCTAATATATTTTTCTTAAAAAAATATATGTTGAAATCTTGTTTATTATTTATCGCATACTTGGTTTTTGTTCCTATAGCTTTATTAGTTTAGCCGCTAAAAAAATTATATTATTACTCTAATATAAAACAAGTAAGAAAGTATAGTCGGCGTGACCGACCATATGATACCCTACACCAGTTATGACTATTAAATGTGATTTATTTTTCATAATAAAGCATTTATCTTCTAATACCTTATTCCGATACATTTTAGCAATTTATGGATGGAAAACTAATTTTCTGAAAGAGGCTTTATAGGGGGGCTAGGGGCAAATATGGACCAAGCCGGTAAAGTTTTGTAAATATATTTATATTTTGAAAATATTTATTTGTGCTGAATTTCATCGCTATATTTGTGTTTATAAGTTAATTTTGGACATTCAAGTAATTTTCGGAAGGGGACTTTGTATGGGAGCTAGGGTCAAATGAGGCCCGATCTTTATGAAAATTGGGAAGGTCATCAAGGCTGGTATAAATCGATAATCGTGTGTAACACCAAATGTATGATGATTTTCATGGAATTATATTGCATAGTTTATTTTTGTTGGCAAAAATAAAAGTTATTTTTTTACTTTTATTTTTTTGAGCAGAAATAAAAGTTATTTTTTGATTTTTATTATTTTGAGCAAAAATAAAAGTTTTTTTTTTGATTTTTTATTTTTCGAGCAGAAGTAAAGGTTATTTCTTGACTTTTATTGTTTTGAGCAGAAATAAAAGTTATTTTTCGAGCAGTTCTAAAAGTTATTTTTTTATTATTGGAAAATAAACGATTCTAAAGCGAAAACTTTTTTTCTGATCAAAAAATAATAAACTTTTCACCTATTGGTCCTAGCGAAAATTGTCAAAAGTAGCTACTACTTCATAGTTTCCAAAAAATTTTATTTTTTTATTTTTTTTAATTCATTTTTTGCTCAGATAAAAGCTTATATAATTTCCTTTAAGGGTTTTATAGTCCCATAATGGGATCCGAGTGGGATATATAAAAAAAAACATATTTTTTAACTCAAGAATAAGATTTCTTTCAATATTTGCAACTAAATTTTCGCCTACTTTTTTTTCCAAAATTGACGTTTCTGTTGTTTTTTGGCTCAAAAGAAAGCTTAAACCATATCCTTTAAAAGCTTTGTGGTTACTTAATGGAATACAATGGGCTTATGTAAAAAATCTATTTTGACTCAAAATTTAATTTTTCTTATAAATATCCCACCCGCATCACATTAAGTAACCACAAAGCACTTAAAGGAAATGGTCTAAGATTTCTTTTGAGCAAAAAAAAGCAAAACAACAAAAACTTCCATTTTGAAAAATATAGGGGAAAATTAAGTGGCAAAAATTGAAAAAAAATCTTATAATAAAGTTCAAAATTTATGACTAAATGGCCAAATTTGATCAAAAACGGGAAAAAATCGATATTTTCCTCTTGTAAATGCATTTGGAAATTTCAGAGCCGTTGCGGCACCTGTTAACGTTATCCAATCAGCCTAATTTTTTGTATGACATAGTTTTACAACCCATAGAATAATTCTAGAGGGGGGACGGTCTGTCAGACAAAATTGTTTTTCCTTCATACAAGCTTGAATCGCTCTAATATATATATATATATATATATATATATATATATATGGATAATAGATCAAATAAATATTTCACTATAACTGAAATAGTTACACAAGTTCACATAAAGAAAGTATTTGAATGTTGTTGTTTAATTAAGCCATGTTTTGGGATTAACGTTAGTTTTGAAAACTTCAATTACATTTTCTATTAAATGAAGTAAACGCAAACGGCCTTATGTATGTATGTATGTCTGTATGTATGTATGTATGTATGTATGTATGTATGTATGTATGTATGTATGTATGTATGTATGTATGTATGTATGTATGTATGTATGTATGTATGTATGTATGTATGTATGTATGTATGTATGTATGTATGTATGTATGTATGTATGTATGTATGTATGTATGTATGTATGTATGTATGTATGTATGTATGTATGTATGTATGTATGTATGTATGTACATATGTATCTTAATTGGCACATCTTACAAACGAATGACTTCTTATTTTGTTTTATTATTATGTGTCTCCAATTACAGGTAAGGCTAGACAAGATATGCTCAGCATGGAAATGCAAAGATCTCATCTCAATCATGGTATTAGTTCGTTGCCATCAGTTTTGACTCACCATGGCAGCACGGTCGCCGGGACACACCATCACCATCATAATCACACTCATCATCTTCATCGACAGCATCACAACAATCATCAACACAGCAGCAATAGCAACAGTAACACTTCTGGTCAGCATGCACAACACCACCACGTTCAGCATTTGCAACATCTAGATTCTAGTTTAATGCAAAATAGCTCAAACGACCACAGTCACACTCAACTGCAGTCAGCTCAGACCTTAACATATGATGTTAAATCGAAAGGTATGACTATTATATTAATTTTAATTGAAATTACCTTAATTATGTTTAACCTACTCACAAGTTTGAGACCTTTAATTTTTATGCCCACCATCAAAAAAGATATATAGATTTTGTCATTCCGTTTGTAACACATCGAAATATTGGTCATAGACCCACAAAAGTATATATATTCTGGGTCCTTATTAAATTCTAAGACGATCAAGCCATGTTCGTCCATCTGTGTGTTGAAAGCACGATAGAGTCCGAACGGAATGAGATAGGGTTGAACTTTTCCACAAACATTGATCCTATATAAGGTCCCCTTCAGAAAATGGCTATAACGCTCATTACTGGCTTAAATATTAGAATGTAGCGATAAAATTCTACACACTTAAGTTTCATGCGAGTCAAAATCTTTCTACCAAATTTTAGAGGGATCGGTCAATAATTGACCCAATCCCCCTTATAAGGTCCCCTTCAGAAAATGACATTAACCCTCATTATTAGTTTAAAACAAGTAGGAATGTATAGTCGGGCATGGCCGACCATATAACACCCTACACCATGAGTATATTTTAAAAATTTTTATTTTTTACAAAGAAACTTTTATGTTGAATTTTACCTTAATTCCAATTTATTGATAAAAACCAAATTTTCTAAATGAGGCTTTATATAGGAGTATAGGTCAAACATGCGCCGATCCTCATTAAATTTGGGAAAAGGCTATATTTTTAAATAATAGTTAATTATGTTGAGTTTCATTGCGATACAAATGGTTACAAGTCAATTTTAGACGTTTAAGACATTTTTTGAAGGGGGATTTGTATGGGGGCTAGGGTCAAATAAGGGGCGATCATTACGAAAATCTGCAGTGTCATTTATACTTATATAAAACTTATTTGTGCCAATTTATAGAGAGATAATAGTATATTTGACGAAATTATGGCATAAAAAGCCCAAATCGGGAGGTACGGTTGTATGGGGGCTAGGTGAAATAATGGACCGATTTCAACCATTTTTAATAGGCTTCGTCCTTGTACCAAAAAACATGCTTGGTCCATATGGGCAATTCCATGAAAAGGTAAACCACGACTGAAAAAATAAAATTTGGTATATGATCTTTTGTAGTGCCAAGGACGAAGGCTGTTGAAAATTTTTGAAATCGGTCTATTTTTACACCTCGCCGCCATACAAACGGAACCGAAAATATCACTTTTTAGCTCATAATTCTGTTAATTAAAATACTATCCCTTCAAAAATCAGCAGATCTAAAATGTTTATAAGCCTAAACCTTTATGCCGATGTTCATAACGATTGGACCTCATTTGACCCTAGTTCCATTCAAAGTTTAATTTCAGAAAAACACTTAAACGTCCGTAACTCACCTCTAATCACTAGTATTATGATAAAATTTGGCACAAATAAGTTTTATATGAATTAAAATCACACCCTAGAATTTTATGGGGATCGGTCCATATTTGACCCTAGTCGCCATATAACTCCAGTTTTTTAATTTTATCTATAAATTGCTTAAACATGTATACAGGTCGGCCATGTCCGACTGCACTTTCCTACTCCTTTTGATTTGTTGAAGTGTGTGTATGCATATATTTCCAAAATATATTTTATAACCTAAAAAAAAAATCAGGAGAAAAATCTGTCACATACGATGTGTCACCTACGATATTTAAATATGTTCATTATGTCCCATAGTGTAAGAAATTAAAACAAAAAAGATACACCTACAGAATTTGCAGATTTTCGTAAATATTTACATGTACTTTAAAAACACTTCCGTTTTTTGATACGTATGATATCGCCATATTTTAATCCATATTTTGGAAAACAAGGTTCCGAATGGGATGATTCCTTTTGCAAATATAGTATTCTTTAAATGGAACAGAATGACAAAATTGTTTTCCAAGTACTCCTAATTTTACAAAATCTATACCACTTTGAAGGCGTGCGAATGTCACATACAATCGTATGGAATTGCCCATATGCTAATTTAATATCATATGAAAAGTCTTTGGGAGATGATTTCAATGACATAATTTTGTATACAACTCCAAAATTATTACAAATGTCGTAATTTTTTCGGAAAATATTTAAGGTTTCGAATTTTTACATAGAATTATTTAATGTAATTAATTGAAATTATTACATTATAAACCTGATAAGATTTCACCGAAATGGTTTTTTCTGTTTTTCGAGATTCGATTTGTTTTGTATTTTATTTAAATATTTTTAATCCAATTTTCTCCCCGGTATTGTGCTAGCTATATTTATCTAACGTACATAATATGTACATCCATACACGCGTATTTTCAGCATTTTTAGCTTTACATTGGTATATAACACTTTATGGTTTTATTTTATTATAGATCATATTTTTCAGTTTAATTAAAATAAGAACACAATTGCCCAATACACAATCGGTGTTGTACGGTTGTATCGTAGAATGTCGTAATTTTTTTAATATTGATTTGTTTTTGTTTCAAAAAATTTTTATGACATACAACGCCACAACGATACGACATCGATTGTGAATTGGACAAATTTATCCTAAGCATCTACTTGTCTTTTATGCTTGCTTTGCTAATAACGGCTTGTATGTTGTTGTTTACATTATTTTGCAATGTTTTGGTAGCGTACATAGGGATCTGTTAATTCAAATAAACTTCGATCTAGATTAAATTTTGAAAAACGGAAAAAACCATTTCCGTAGAATTTAATTAGGATTATTATGTATTAATTTCAACGAATTATATTAAATTCATTTGTGTTAAAATGTAAAAAATTTAAAAATTTACCGAAAAATAAGAAAATTTTTGTCTGATATGCGATTTTAAGCGTCTTTCAAGGATACCAATATTTCATATCTTTCCTTTGGAAGAAATATGGAAAAAATAATAAAAACCTCAAAAGAGGACTCTTTTATCCTCTGATCCAGCTCACCAAATATTGACGCCAGGACAAAAATTTTGAGAAATGGTATCTTAGAATCAATTAAACTTTAATTTTAGTTTTGAACATTGACACATTATTTTTCCTCCATACAAACGGGGCAACCCTAATGTACACACCTGCATAGTATGTATTTTAAAAAATAATTGTTTCCCGATTTTTAGAAATGTAAGATTTTTTAAAAAGGCTTAATTTTTAAAATGTTTACTTAACGCTGTGTTAAGAGTTTAGAAACTACTTTTAATCTTTTTTCAATTTTTTACTTTTAAAGTTCACAAATTAGATGAATATTGTTTGACAAGCAATGGCAGCACGATTCCTACAAACACATCAACTGGATCGACAGCACAGGTGCCTACAAACTTTATGTCTCAAACTGCAGCAGTCGAATGGATTACAGTCATGAATGAAAATCACAATAATGCAGGTAAGTTTTCTTATTTTTGTATGTATTTCATCTTAAAGATTTAGGACGATAGTTATTACCGTAATAGTACATGCGCAAAACCTGCAACAGCATTGGTATTAAAACGTTAAAATGTTTTTCTTTTTTGTTCGTGTTTCTATATGGATAAGTAGCATCTAACATTGTGTTAAGTCAAGTGCACTCTACCTCCAGTTAACACTGGCATCTATTTAAATACACTATTTTGCTGTATGAATGTATTCATAGTACTACCTTAAAAGAAGACTGTTGCTGATAGATATCTATATAATTGTAGGCTTTTGAAATCAAAGTTATTTGGATCATTACACAGATCAACAAAAAATAGAAAATCCTAATTTATTCATCACATTAGTTTTTCGAGATATTGTGTCGGTTATTTAAAAAATTAACGCATTTGAGAAGTTATAAGTCGAAGACATCTTAGTTTATAAACTTTAGGTTAAGACATTTCGATGAAATAAACATTAATGTTACCATTTAATTTAAATCGATTTTAGACTGTCAATATCAGATTTATTGGTAACAGTGAACTGATTCGTAATAGACTCACAAATCAGATAGTCTGTTGAATGGCTAACTACAACCCAGAACATTTTTATTAATTAACACTCCGCGAGCTCAGCAACGAAAGAGAATTCCAGCAAAAACTATTTATGTAAATTAAATTTTTGTAAATTTATGGATGTCTCAAACTTTAGGTTAAGACATTTCCATGAAGTAAACAATTATGTTTCTATTTAATTTAAATCGATTTTAGACTATCTATAGATACCTGTCAATATCAGATTTATTGGTAACAGTTAACCACTTCGTAATAGACTCACAAATCAGATAGTCTGTCGAACGGCTAACTACAACCCAGAACATTTTTACTAATTAACCTCCGCG